AGTGGATAATGCATGTGTGTATGTGATCAGGTGGAGGAAAGGTGGAAGCAGGTAGACTGGTTAATAGGCAATTCCGGCAGGGCGCGGTGGCTCCCGCATGTAATCCCAGGACTTTGGGAGGCCGAGGCAGACAGATCACGAGGTCAGAGATCAAGACCATCCTGGCTAACATAGTGAACCCCTGTCTCTACTAAAAAAAAAAAAAAAAAAAAAAAAAAAAAAATTAGCCGGGCGTGGTGTCACGTGCCTATAGTCCCGGCTACTTGGGAGGCTGAAGCAGGAAAATCACTTGAACCCCGGGAGGTGGATGGAGGTTGCAGTGAGCGGAGTTGGTGCCGCTGCACTCCAGCCGGGCGACAGTGTGAGACTTCGCAAAAAAAAAAAAAAAAAAAAAAAAAAAAAAAAGAAGGGTAACAATAGCTAGAGTTGGCTAGATGCAGCGGAGTAGGTTAGAAGTATTAGGAATTGGGGGTAAATTTTGTGAAGTAGATCAAACGACAATTGGTGATGAATTGATTGTGTGCTGGCATAAAAGAGATGAAAAACTATAAATGTCGCATTTGAACTGCCCATTAAGTCATGGATAGCATAGTTCCTTAACATGTTGTTTACCATAGGTTAAACACAGATGCTTTACTGTTTTGTGACAAAAAGATCCTTGACTACAAAATATGCTTGTTTAGGAAAAAAACCTATTACATTCAAAACCAATACTAACATCATCCTATAGTAGTTGTATAATTGGACTCCAGACTAGGCTGAATGATTGCCATTTCAGTCCTCCCTAGAGTAGTTTTCATTTAGACCTTATCACCATTAGTCTAAATTATCTATTTTATTTACTGAATTATCAATGTTATTTCAATATAAATTAAGTCCAAGGAAAAATCATCACAAACAAATCAATGTAGTGAGATGAATACTCTGAATACAACAGAATGAAATAGTCTTTGGAAAAGAAAGAAAATTTTTGTAGATTTCACTGATTTCTGCATCAGTATCTGAAAGAAGAAAACAACATGTTAGTTTAGTATAATAAAATGACCAAATGACTCCCACTTAAAGCACAATTATTTTTCTTGATTTATGATTTTAATGTTATTTTAAAAAGACTGTATTGAATGATTTTCTACAAATTCATGCTACAAATAAAATATACTTTTAAGAGACTCATCTTGTTTTCTTTTGTTTTCTTGTAGATATTGCGCATTCTTGCAACAATTATGTGTAACAATTGTTGTAATAATTACCTGTAACAATTAATAATGCATTCTCATAACAATTCATTTAAAAATGTAATATGAATTCAATGTTATAATTTATTTGACTGCCTGTATGTATTACACAGGATGTTTACTGTGTGGGTGCTGGTTTCAGATCAACACTATCTCCTGATATCAAATGATGTGAAGTTCCTTCTTTGCCTTAATAGACTTTTCCCAAGAGGTAATATTTGTTTTTCTTTACCTGTTGTGAATTGGGTAATTTATATGGCAAAATACTAAATACAAATGACTACAGAATGTATGAAACTATTATGTGTATCTAATATCTTGAACTAACTCACTAGCCAATTGTTCATTTTACATAAAAGTAAAATAAATGAAAACCAAACAATATAGCAATAGTCAGGGTTTAACTAAAAATGGATATCTTTTAGTTTCTTTGGCAATGGCTGCTGTAAAGAGGTATCACCAACAACAATAACTACCATCACATTTGCTTTTCAATTCTACTTTAGCTAATGATGTCACCTCAGAAATAACTTTGATTTGGCTGACAGTCAAAGCCTTGTCATTTACCTTTCTGGTAAACATTAAAATTGGAACACCTTTGAGAAAGGATGAAGGATGAGAACCTGAAATTAAGATGGCCAAATTTCTTGCTTATCCCCTGATCAGATGACTAAGACACAGTGAGTCCAGTTGAGCTGTTTGTTTGTGCCTTTGGGTGGTACAATGTGGGGACAGGGAGACTTCAGGTCTAAATTGTTTGTTTTCTAAAACAGTAATTCTTAATATGGGGTAGGATGGTGGCTGAAGGGTTAGCATACAGAACAACCTGTGAGAATGTAAACAATGCCTCTTTCCATGTAGAGTCCTACCCTCTTCTCCCATGTTAAAGGTTTTTACCTATATTAACTACTGTTAATTTAGAATCTTCAAGTCATAATCAATTTGGATCAATTTAAGGAGGAATTCACTAGTTGTTCAAACGTAGCCTAAATTCTTTACACAAGACGTCAGTTAATAGTTTGAAAGTTTCGGAGGCACAAACTACCAGTGCTTCTCTAAGCTCCACTTTCTCATTTTCATGTAGTAAAAAACATAATACATTCCAAGGTAGCTTCTGATTATGTGATTTAACCTCTTTATCTGTAATTTCTAAATTATATTATCACATATGACTTACAGAAATGAACCCATGGTACTCTTCTAGAGAATTTCACTGATTTGCCTAGAAAACATAAAAAAAGATCTTTTCATAATCAAATAATCAAATGTACTTTATTTCATAGTATTGGGCTTATCTTTTCTAAATAATCTTTCTTCTCTAAGAAGTTGTGTTCTGCTGATCTCTTCTTATACATGTTTAAAATATTCTATACTGCTACTAGATTTAGCTTTCTGAAACAGAGAACTGGTTGAATTACTCCTTTCAGTGAAGGTCTCTAATAAATTGCTTTGGCTACAGGATAAAGTCCAAAGTATTGAGTAGTGTTTTCAAGGTCCCTTCTTATCAGGTTCTATTTCTTTTTATCATCACTTTCTATCATTTCCTTCTACTCTCATGTGAACCCTGAGCTACAGGTATATATATACAGTATCCATAATACTCCGGCAGATGGAAAGTGCTTGTGTCAAATCTACTGAATGAACATGTTTAATATGTGAAGCATTGGAGAACAAGCCTCGCTCATCATACCTTTCTAGAGAAGCTGCAAACACCATTGAATGTAACCCACTCATGAATATCTTAAAAGAAAAAGAGTTCTTATCTCCCAGGAAACAACTACTAGAGCTTTCCAAGTGGTGGCAATATGCTGCATAAATAATTCATTGGTGGATTTAAACTTCCATTTGTTTTTAGCCTCTTGCCAGGGTTCAGTGTATCTTCTATGTATTTCAGATTCATGGTTTCCCTTTGGTAAAATAGTCTAATTCCTTGGGTCATATCTGCTAAAATTTAGGGACTAGGTGCTTCTTAAATTTTTTTTGTCTGAAAACAATTGTTTTTCTAAAAGTTTAGTAAACTTCATTAAAGCTTAAGTTCAAGATGAATAATAGAAACTGCATTTACTCTCTTGCTCAAAACAAAAATAATGTGCAAACATGAGAAGAAAAATGAAAAGGAACAATTTTTCAAGATCTATCAGGCTGTGTAAAACAGTGATCACTAAAAGACAGGAAGCAACGTAGTTGTTCTCTATGATTGTCCTACCATACTGCCTGGAGTGAGTTTCCATAGCTTGGTGCAAGAGAAAACACACACACACACACACACACACAGACACAGACACAGAGAGAGAGAGACAGAGAGAGAGAGTGTGTGTCCCAGCAGATTCTCTGAGTTAAGTAGATGGAGCTGGGACTCCAGGAAGGTCAAGAGAGCTGACATTTACAGGCAGAGTACCTGATGGGAAAACAGGGCACAAAGATGTAGATACAAAGATCTAGATAACGTGTGTTCTCACTTATAAATGGGAGCTAAGCATTGAGCACACATATACATAAATATAGGAACAATGAACACTGTGGCCTACTAGAAGGTGGTGGTTAGGGCTGGGTTATGAAACTACCTCTTGGCTAGTGTGCTCACTACCATGGAGAAGGGATTCATTCTCTAAACCTCTGCATCACAACATATCCCCATGTAACAAATCTGCATATGTACCCCATGTAACCCCTGTGTCTAAAATAAAAATTGATTTTTTTTTTAAAACAAGATACCCTCACATTTCAACTGAGTATTGATTAATTATATGAAGATACTACCTGAGGTCAGGTAGAGAACTACCTGAAAGGACAGAATAGAACAACAATTGGTACTCACATAGGGCAGGAAAAAGTTCTTCATCCCCCCAGCCAGAGTGAAAAACCACAAAATTCACGGGACATAAGTTTGAGCACTCAGAATGCTTTGATCTCAATAAAGGAAAAATTAGCCTTGGATAAAAACATTTATCTGTTCCTGTTTAATAAAGTGTAAAAGCATACTAACCTAATAGCATTCCAGAATAAAACTCATGAATATGTATATCCATACACACACATATGTGTATACTACATATACACATTATGTACACATGGTGTATGTTATAGATATAATAATATGTGTGTACAATGTATACATGGCCCCAGGAGGAGGAGGGTATGTAAATACACATACATGTGCATGTGTGTGCATAAAGATATGTTAAAAAACTTAATGCTTTCCCCTAATATTAGGAACAGAGCAGGGATATCCATCTAATCACTTTTATTTGACATTGTACTGGATGTTTAAGCCATTATAGAATGCAATAAGTAAATAAATGCATCCAGTTTGGAAGCTAAAATCTGTTTAACAGATGAATGGGTACATAAATTACGGTGTACCTGTATAATAAAATAATAATCTGCAAAGAACCAAACTGTTAGTAAACACAACTTCATGGATAAATCTATTAAAGTGAATGATGTCTGACACAAGAGTACGTACAATATTATTCCACCTACATAACATTCTAGAAAATGCAAACCAATTTGTTGCGACAAAAAACAGTCCAGAGATGGGAGGATGGGGAATGTGGGATTACGGAGAAACAGGAGGAAACTTTTGACTGTGGTAGATACATTCCCCATCCTGGTAATTCTTTTCATGAGTGTATTCATATGTCAAAACATATCTAAGTATACAGTTTCAATATGTGTAGTTTGTGGTATATGTCAATTGTATCTCAATAAAGCTGTTCAAAATATCTAAGTTGATATAGGTTTGCTTGGGGAGTGGTTGTTTTGTTTTTTTTTTTTCCGTTCTACAAATCTCATTTCTCATACTTTATAGTGGTAAGATATAAGCAACCTACCTGGTGAAGAGAGGGAGAAGGGTGAGGTTCTGGGGCAGCAGGCTTGGCTGTAGCAGGCTTAGCTGGTGAAGGTGAATCTGCAGCAGGCTCAGCTCCAACAGGCGCCTCTGCAGCGGGCTCGGCTCCAACAGGTGCCTCTGCAGCAGTCTCGGCTGCAACAGGTGCCTCTGCAGCTGTAAGTTATACCAAACAAAGTGAAAGGTGAATCTGCAGCAGGCCTAGCCCAACAGGCGCCTCTGCAGCGGGTCGGCTCCAACAGGCTCTGCAAAGAGTCTCAAGTGTAACAGGTGTTTCTGTAGTAGTCTTAACAGGTGCCTCTGCAGCAGTCTCGGCTGCAACAGGTGCCTCTGCAGCGGGCTCAGCTCCAATAGGTGCCTCTGCAGCGGGCTCAGTTCCAATAAGTGCCTCTGCAGCAAGCTTAGCTGCAACAGGGGCCTCTGCAGCAGGATCAGCTGCTACAGGTGTGGCTGTAGGAGGTGCAGCTGCAGCAGGCTCAGCTGCAATAGGTGGGGCAGCGGGTGCTGCAGCTGCTGAAAAAATCCTTGAAGGAGGGACAAAGGGGAAATCCCTAGGAGGGAGCGGAGGAACATTCAACCGAGTAGCTAAGGGAAAACCAGGGATGTGATAGAAATAGCGGAATCCAGGAGCAGTTAGAATCCAGGGATACAGAGGTAACCGGGTGTCAGTGTAAGTATTCCCAGGGTAACTGGGGACTGTATTCACTGGGGGATAGTAAAGAGGAGGTGGCAAATTCCGTATGCCATAAGGAATATTCAGAGATGGATGAAGTGGGTGATGATAGTCATTGTAATCCTAAAGGAGAAACAAGGAAGTCGAAGTTGATTGTATTTGTCCTGTCTATATATTACTTACGGTACAACTGTGATGATATATGATAAGTAACGATATTTTGAAAGAATTCCAATCTCTTCTCTTTCTTAAGGCTACTGTATTTCCATATTTTTGAAGTAAGAAGTAATAATCTCTTAAGAAAATTGAATTAACTCCAACTGAAGAGGAAATATTTTGTGTTTAAGCAAATAAGAGTGTTATAGTCCACAGAATATGCTAACCTAGGCCAGGACAAAGATAGAAGGAAAGCACTCACATTTTTAGGATTGATAGAGGATTATGAGATTAGTAGCTCCAGGCCTTCTTCTCTGCATCCTCCATTGTCTTTCCCACTGCCCTCAGCACTCTCTGGGTCTCTAAAGTGTCCACGGAAGCCTCTGGTTCGTTATTCCTCTTCCAGGTGTCCCATATTCCAGACTTATCTTTCTCAACTTCCTACCTCTCTTTATCAATGCTTCCCTTCCTTTAACACTGTGCATCTTAAATTTTCATTAAGAGGGTGAGCAGATTGGGAGGCTGAGGCAGGAGGATCACGAGGTCAAGAGATCGAGACCATCCTGGCCAACAGGGTGAAACTCCATCTCTACTAAAAATACAAAAAAGTGACTGGGTGTGGTGGTGGGCACCTGTAGTCCCAGCTACTCGGGAGGCAGAAACAGGAGAATTGCTTGAATCTGGGAGCCGGAGGTTGCAGTGAGCTAAGGTCACACCACTGCACTCCAGTCTGGCAACAGAGTGAGACTCTGTCTTAAAAAAATAAATAAATAAATAAATAAATAAATAAATAAATAAATAAATAAGACGGTGAGCAGACTGGATGTCGATGTTGTTAATGTTATTGTATATAATATTATTGTTATATATAATAATATACAATACTGAGAAGTTTCCCAATAAATGTAGGTTGTTCTTCAGGGTCTTTGAGATATTTTAAGGATATCTCAAATACCTTTCTTGATGGAAGTTCTATGATTTATTTTTTAAAGTATAAAATAAATACCTTCTCTGTGCTGTCTCTGTACTAGGTATTGGGATCCTACATACTGGAAAAACAGTCAAGGTTTCTTCCTTCTTGTGTCTGGGATGCTACATTCCCCAGCCAGTCAAACGTCTTAATTAATATTTAATTTTTTTCCAATTTTAGGTAGGTTTCCTGAATTACTGAGTTAATATTTTCTCACGAGTCATATTGCCAGAGACCCTTGAGGTATGATATACATACATAATTAATGTATGTATGTCCCCAGGTGTTCATAGAGGCAAATATCAATTATTTGTATTGTGGATAATAGAACCCTAGAATCTGCAGACTTAAATATTAACTCATAAGAAATTCAAAATAAGTTCTAACACAGTTTCTATTTTAAAACACTATTTTCAAAAGATTTCCACTCCTTTGTTATATGTCTGATCATTGTTGGTCAAAAGTGTGCACATCACAGATTATGTCTCTTGGGCTTTCTTTGCTAGTGTGTCATGTTGATTTATGGCATATTTGTGGATGGGTATAAGTGTAATTTTCTTAGTACTCTTCCATTACCAGAAATTGAGGCACAAGTAACAAAGAACTGAAAAAAAATCTAACGTCAGTTACTCAGTATGTGCTTTGGTCTCATAGGGATAATTTATGGGTATTTCCTGCAGAGAAATCATCTAACTCATTGGGACACACTCGTCCCGCTAGTGGTTCCTAGCTTGAAGACACACACCTGAATACATGGCTGGCCCACTACTTCATGCTTTCTTTTGCTCTAACCCTTCATGCAGACAGAGCATCTCCAGATTCATCACTAAGTTTGTTCAAGTAAACTTAGGACATATTGATAATGTATTTTAGAGGCATGAGGGGAAAACCTTGTCATAGCAAAAATTTTCTTACGCTGCAAAGGGAGTGCACTTAATGCTTCTGCTCATTAAAAAGACTAAAGACCTTTTGCTAAATATGTTGAGCACAAACATATTCCATAAAATTTTCTATCAAATCAGAAGTTTAATAGCACTATTATTTTAAGAGCAATAGCAGTCATTAAATTTCATTGTAAAGGAATCAGAGAGTTTTAAAATGTAAAATATATTTTAAGATCAAAACAAATATACTTGCATGTAAAGAAAAAAAAAGTTTTACCTCATCATTGAAGGGGAACTGCCTCTAAAAGAAAGGAAAATATATTTTAATGTGGTTATGTATTTGAAAACATCTGTACCCACATTTCCATATTGCTGAAAAATTTGCAAAGTTTAACAATACTTATAGTTAATTTTCTTGACATTTGAGTCACTGGTATGAATGTTTTTAATAATCATCATCATTATCATTATATAGTTTTGACTTAAACAATTTCCTCAGGGAATTTTACTTTGGCTGGATGGATTTTGGTTTGTAATATTCAACATGTACATAAATCTTTATTATCTGAAAGATCATTCAGCTCTCATTCATATATCTGATTTTGCTATTCACTTTTTACCTCCCAGGTTTTGTCCGTTGTGTGTGTGTGTGTGTGTGTGTGTGCATCCGTGTGGTAAAGAGTGTTCTTTGCACCGGGCACGGTGGCTCACGCCTGTAAACCCAGCACTTTGGGAGGCCAAGGCGGGCAGATCACAATGTCAGAAGATCGAGACCATCCTGGCTAACAAGGTGAAACCCCATCTCTACTAAAAATACAAAAAATTAGCCGGGCTACTTGGGAGGCTGAGGCAGGAGAATGGTGTGAACCCGAAGGCTGAGTTTGCAGTGAGCCGAGATCGCGCCACTGCACTCCAGCCTGGGCGACAGAGCGGAACTCTGTCTCAAAAAAACAAAAAAACAAAAAAACAAAAAACAAAAAAACCCCCAAAAAACAGTGGTCTTTGCCACCTCATCACAATACCAGAAAGACCATACATCCATTTGTTTTCCAATGAAGCTTCAATATGGTTTGTGAATTGACCACAGATTATGAACTACAGAATAAAAATAAAAAGCAGTAAAGGAAAACCATCATTTGTTATTTTAATAATTGGAGCTTAATTTATCTAATTTTAGGGAACAAAAACAATAGTTTAACATTTGGACAGCATGGGAATAACACCAATAGTAAATAGTATCATGTAGCAGTTGAGTTTCTACCATACCCGAGGTACTCTGCTAAGCACTTTATATAATTATCTTATAAAATCTTTAAAACAATTTTATGGTGTAGGTGTTATTATTTTCTCCATTTAAAAAAAGATAATATTTAGCATATTCACTGGCTAGGATTAAGAATTTGCATCAGATTTGTTTTACACTAGAATTTCATCTACTTACATTACACTGAAGGCCATTACATTGCACTATATTACTTTATATTCCACTAAAGGTATGATGTGCATTTACTTCTATTCCATCAAGTATCCCTAATGTCTGTACATAAATACCTCCAGCAATGGCACTTCACAGCCATAGGAAGCCCAATCCAGCATTCTATAATTTGAAGAGATAAACTCTGTTAAGATAATCTACATGGGATCCTGCTTTTCTATAATTTTTCCACCTCCAGCCTCCTACATTTCTGAACTCACCTCCTTTCCTTGCTGTTTAACTATTTTCATATATTACAACTTTATTATTTTAATTTTTAAGTTTTCCTTTGAAAAGTCTGACACTACAAACCTCATGTCCATCTATGTCTCTTTGCTGCTTTAGTATAAACATTATAGTAACTTTATCATAAGCACAAATCCCTATCAACAATTATCTAATGGTTATACAATTGTTGCAATTTTGGAAGTCCATTTACTTACCTTCCTTGCAAAAGCAACACACACAATGCAGGCCCAAAGGAGAAGCTTCATTTTGATTGACCCTATGAATATTAATACTATAAATTTATTGTTTTAGAAAATATGCAGTATATTTTTAAATTATATTTTTCTTCTTTTAGAGAGAAACAAAAGAATACATTGCTTTTTTAGTCTGTCTAGGAAGACCCTTAACAGAATAGTTGGCCCTGCTATTTAACTATTGTCTGTATGACTTAACATGAATATCAGTAAAGCCAAAATATATATATATATTAGCAGATACCGTTCAACAGTTAATTGACTTCTAACTAAAATGTCTGAAAGTAAATGTCAACTCATTTAGCTCCCCAGGGACACATTTTGCAATTAATTTATCTTGGAGATCTCACCAGGAAATAAAATTGCTTAAATGTCACCATTCTATGGGTGCTTCTTCATATTTTGTTTTTATGAATTCAGTGGGAGATTGGTATCACCTACTTAGAAAAATTTGTAATCTTAAACTTGAACATAATTTTTTTTCCTCTATTTCTGAAGAATAGTGGAGAAGCCATATTCTCAGGTGTGTGTCTTAATTAGGCTCAATTTTGTTCAAAGAACTTAAAACCATTCTCCAACGGATTGATTATTAAAGTTTATGGCTTCTTACTTCTTCAAAAACAAAATAGCTCCACTTGTACAAAAAAATTGCATATACAAGGACACTTATAGCATTTTTTAGAATTTCATAATATGAAAAATATAAAATCCCAACGAGAAGTTTTATTAAGAATAATAATATTACGTTCATGATATATTGCTAAGTGAATATTTAAATGTTAAATATTGCAAAGATAAGCCATAAAGAGAATAAAATCATGTCTTTTTCAGTAACATGAATACAGTTGGCGGCCATTGTCATAAGTAAATTAATAATGCAGGAACAGAAAACCAAATATTCATGTTCTCCCTTATAAATGGGAGCTAAACATTAAGTACATGTGGACATAAAGATGGCAACACGAGAGACTGGGGAATACTAGTGGGAGGAGGGAGGAGAGGAAGTGGGCTGAAAAACTACCTGTTGAGTACTATGCTCAATACCTGGGTGAAGGGATGCATCCTTACCCCAAACCTCAGCATCATGCAATATACCTGTGTAACAAACCTGCACATGTAGCCCCTGAATCCAAAATAGAAGTTAAAATTATAAAACAAATAAATAAATACAAATAAATAACTAAAATAGCAAATAGACACAAGGATAATATTCCTACTCTAGAGACTTGTAGCACTGTAAAAAGAGCACCAACTTTATATACGACAGAAAACTAATTTAAAATAAAAAATTGTGTAGTAGATAAGAACATAATTATTGGTAAAATATTTAATGAGTTATTATGAATTAGAAGATGACTTTGTTTTTATACTTATTTTTATATTTTTCTTTTATTTTCTGTAATCTACTTTTTGTGAAGTGAGAATGTATTGCTTATATGCTATGCATTTTCTAATAATATAATGAACTTCCAAGTTTTTTTTTGATAAGATTGTGGATGCTTTCCTACCTAATCCTTGTCAAAATCTAGGCTGGAAAAAAAATCATCATATTTCTCAAAACATATTTTTAATCTTGGCTAAGCTGCTTACCTGTTCAACATAGTTTTGACCACATACTGAGTGGCCTTTGCTGTAGTGATCTTTGGTATTGTACATCAGGTTTTCACTGACGCACAATTTAATAAAAGTGTTTCGTTATCCTTTTCCTTGTTTATTTTTTCTTGAAATAGCATGTTAAGTAAGAGAGACTTACTTGACCCTATTTTTCAATTCTTCGGAAGCACATGAGGCTTTATGAACGGAACTGATCTGTTTTTCCTAGGGTTTATGTGAACTCTTGAGTCCAGTCTGAATGTAGGGAATACAAATTTCTTTGCTAAGTCTCACTTCATACAGTGTTAAAATGAGAACTCAGGTGTGAGGCGGACTAGATTTATACAGACTAGATTGTGTCATCAATCTCTGCAAATTATGAAAGAATGTAAATATGCCATGTATTTACAAGTATACTATTAAAGTCCATCTGACCGAAATCTGGTAGAGGAATTTTTAAAATGGGAACATCTTAACATAAAAAAAAAGGATACTTTGTTTCCAGGGTGCAAACCAGTGGATGTAGCTCCTGGTTTTGATGTGGACAATGTGCCTCACTCCCTTTCTTTCCAGGGATATTTATAAGTTCCTAATTCAATGTTTACTCTTTCATTTTGAAACAAATTAGCATTGACTCTATCAAAAATAATTTAAAAACCTACGAATTTGACTGATTTGGCTGTGAATTACTTCCTTCATTTCAGAGAACCATAAAAATAGGGAAGTTTTTCCCATAAAATGACAGTAAAAGACAAATTTAGGAACTACATTAAGCTTAATTCCTAAATTCACTTTGCAAATATTCATTACTTGACTTTATTTTGGCATCAATTAGATATTGTGATGAAGAAAGTTTATGCTTTACTTCATTTTATGTTAAGAATGTAATAGAATAATAGCATAAATTTTTTAAAACAATGGTGTGGTTTCTCTTCCTGTAATAGCATTATAAACATAAATTAACTAATGTAAATAAATATTAGAAGCTCAAAGAGCCCTTCTATCCTGTGAATTTATTATTGATAACCTAACAGCACTAGTATCATGTTATATCAAAGAATAAATGAGGCATACTAATGATTGTCAGTGCACACGTCTTACATCAGAGTAATGTGAAGTAATTTAGCTTGATTCTTAGGTCATATACTAGGTTCAGTGTTGTTTGTCAGGAGTGACAAAATCCTTTTGTCTAAGTGTTTAATTTCCTCTCTTGTGGACTAGATTAACACAACCCCCTGCACTAAGGCCATCGTAGAAAGAAAGTGAGCTCATGTTTATCTAATGACTATACCGTAAATCAGGCATTCAATAAAAAATTACAAGACACACAGAAAAGTATAAACAAAGTCTGAAGATTTTTTAAAAAAACAATAATCGGAATAAGAGTCAGTTGTTACACAGATGTCGAAACTCTTGAGCAGGGGATTTAAAATAACTTTGATTATTATACTAAATATTCTGATGATAAAGATAGACAAGATTCAAGACCACATAGATAAATTCAGCACAGAGAAGGAAACTGCAACAAAGAATAACTAGAAATGCTATAAAAAATTTACTAACAGAGAAAAATAATTCATTTGACTGGCAAATTGATAGACTTGACACAACCTAGGAAAGGATTCGAGACCCTGAGGATATGTCGTAGATCTAACATTTGTAATCCTAGGAGAAAAAAGAGCAAAGCAGAAAATGTTTAAAGAAATAGTGGTCAAAAACTTTCCAAAAATATAGACAGAAACCAAAAGCATAGAAGACACTCTGAGAACACTAGGAATAAATTATACACACACACACACACACACACACACACACACACACAGAGTATATTGTATTGAAACTGCTGGGAACTAAAAGACAAACAAAAAATCTTGAAGACAGCAACAGAAAAAAAAAGACTGATTATCTACAGAAAAATAAGGATAAGAATTACAGTATTTTTTTTGGTCAGAAATCATGCAAGAAAGAGGAAAATAATAAAATCTTAAACGTAATGAAATACTACTGTCAATACATAATTCTAGGTCCAGGAAATACATTCCTCAAAAGTGAAGGAGAAATATTTTCTCAGACAAAAATGGAGGGAGTAAACCAGTAAGAAAAAAAAAATGATTTGAACAACACTATCAACCAATTTGATCTAACTGACTGTCATAGATCACTCTACTGAACTACAATAGAATACACATTCTTCTCAAAATCAAACGGAACACATGCCAAGATAGACCATATTTAGGCCCATAAAACACACCTGAACACATTTTTAAACATAGAAATAATAAGTGTTTTGTCAGTCCAATGTAATTAAGCTAGACATCAATAACAGAAATATATCTTGAAAATTACCAAATATGAGGAAATTAAGCATCATACTTTTAGATGACCTATAAGTCAAAGAGGATGTCTCAAGGAAATTAGAAAATATTATTATTTTTGCTGTTACAACATCCAGTCAAGATGATGTTTCCTGAAGTGTCCTAGCTCTCTCCTTTACTCCTACCCTCATTGGTGAGGCTATGCCATATATTTAGATATACTGTTGGATTCATTTGTCACAGGCTGTATTCCATCTTAGGTTTCTGCAACATCTTGGTTTACTTCTAATTTTAATTTGCAATTAGCAGTATTCACTCTTAAAGCTTAAGCCTTCTACGTGTTTTGGCAAATGTATGTAGTCATATATTCACCACTACTTTATCATATGTAAGGGTTCCATCATGCTAACATTTTCCATGTATTGACCCTCTGTAGTAAAAAACAAACAAACAAACAAACGAAAAACTAACAATGTCTTTCCTTTCCATCAACTCTAGCAACCACTTAGTAGGTTTTCATTCCCATAGTTTTGCCTTTTTTTTTCTATTTTCCCCTTATATTCATTCCTTTTTTTGTTTTTTTTTCTTTTTTTCCCTCCTTCCTTTCATTATTTTTTTTCTTGTTTTCTTCTTTTAGTCATTTAAACGATAGTTAGTGAGTACTGTTATAGGCAAGGAAATATATGAGAAATGCAACCCAGCAGATAAAAAGTATTAGGTTGGTGCAAAAGTAATTGCAGTTTTTGCCATTAAAAGTAATCATATAGTGATATCATTAATATAAAGCATTTGTAATGTAAAGCTCCAAAGGCACTATGGTTTTGTAAATGAAGAAGTTGAAAACCTGTGTTTAAACTTAATTGATCCCTTATTTGAGAATGAAATACTAAAAAATAGGTATTGTTAAACTCATTATTTTGTGATTAACGAGATAGGAAATCAGTAGATTATGTTTGACAGTTGAAAAAAGAACGGATGATAAGCATATGAGAAACTTCTTTTGTTAGACACAATCTCTCAATCCACAAACGGTAAGTGATTTTAGAAGACCGATGAACCAGAACATGTCCTGCTATTTGTAGTCAGGGAAATAGGGTGCCTTTTCATCCGTGACGGACTGCTATGCTCTTGAAAATGTCAAGGGATTTAATTTACAAGAGAAACATCCTGCAAAGATATGTTACTAAATATGTTGCCATAAGTGTGCAACTCATTGGCAGATTTTTATAACGTGTTTGTGTTTTAATATTTTCCTAATCTCCTTCAATTACAGGGAAAATCTTTAGTCATCTATACCAATGTGATAAACTTGAATCTGAAGAGTCTTTGGCAAATTGTGAGTGTTTGTGTTCTAATGGCAAAAAGGAACTGTAATAAATGCCATGTTCTAGTTTAATTTATGAAAATAAAGTATTAGGCCTAAAATATACGGAATAACTTGATAATTCATCTGAATATCAGATCATGTTTTGAGTACTGGATATTCAAAGTGGAAACAATGCTCACATTTTAAAAAAATAATAATGTGATAATAAAATAATAAATATTCTATTTAATAATATAATAATAATAGTTACATTGATAATATAGGAAATTTAATAGTAAGGTTAATTGAGACAAATATGTAAATTACACTGCACGTAGCTGCTTATTCAATTATAGGCGTTAAAATCATCACTATTACTTTTGCTACAATGAACATTATCAGAAAGGATGGATCACAGAGGAACTTCTAAAAAACATCAAAAGAGCCATTAACTTTGAACTAAAAGAAGGTCATATATCCTTTAAAACTAGAGTGAATTAAAGTTATGTTCAGATTTAGATAAAATTATTGATGTGTCCTACTAAGAAGTGGATAGTGTTTATGCTCAATGGACTCAGTGTTGTCTATGAAGTAGAAAGGAAAATTGTTTTCTGGTGAGATAAGTTTGAAGTTTAGGGAGAGTTGAAGGCAGTTAACATTAATGTCAACAAGAAAAAGAGTTTGATAAGATGTCTTTGGTTACCAATACAGTTTAAAAAACATAAACTTACTTTAAAATTCATCTGTTTTGTGGAATGGCAGTAGAAATCAAATTCAGAGTTTTGTGTGGTTGCGTGTTTTCCAGGTAGGGTTGGCTAAGTGTAGGGGGGCAGAAAAATTACATGAACTATCAAGATAATATTTAAAATAATCAAGCATGAAGTCTGGGCTGTGTAAGAAAGGAAGTGAGACCAATAGAGAGTAGAAGCAATGAAATGTAATCAGGATTTTAGTGGATGGGAATGGAGTGAATGGGTTCTATGAAGACAAAGAAAAATTCTCTGCTTCTACTTATATCACCTTTTCAAAATATATGTCATATGTCAACTTCTGAAAATCCCTTAAATGTTCAGTTGAATAAGAAAGGAAGTAATGCTAAGAGGAATTGGATAGAATGGAATACAATGGGAATTATAAAGGATTGACGTATTCTATGGGGTCAAAGATAAAGTCTTCAAAATTTAAAGTTTTTCACTCGTCAATGACATATATCATATAATGTTACTCCCCAATGGAAACTCCTGTAATGTATTCCCATTACAACCAAATGCTTAACAAATAACTTTCATCCCTATCCCCTCCTTCCTGATCTGCTTTCCTTGTAGCTTTCCCCATCCCTCCATTTTCTCAGGATGTGTTGATTCCCTTGGAGCCCAAGTATGCCTCAGAGCCCATGTTTGCACCCATGTGTTTGCTTTGCTCTTTCTTCATTTGGTGACACC